GTGTAGAAGTAGAATAGGGCTTCCTTGCAAGAGTTCCAGAACACAGGGTTCTGTATACAGGCTGCCATAAAGGGTATCGTAGGGGGTTTTAGAATGGGGGCCTTAACGGCTATAGGTTTCAGGAGCCGCCATGAATAGTACTGGGGTGTACAGATATGACTCATGGGTTGAGGGCTTAGCGTTTTTCTGAATTCAATTCATGGTTTTTGCCCCTGTTGGATATCACATGTTCTGAACGGAGGTTTTTAGAAGGGGAACCTGTCTTGTTCCGTCGAAAACCCTAGGTTTAGCAACTCAGGTCGAACATCAGAAACCCAATGCCCATTATGCAGTCAGCCCGAACTTTTGGACCTAAGCTTCGATGCAGGAGCTGTGTTCTCAGAAGACCTGCTTCAGGTAACGAGCCCCAAGCTTTCATCTAGTGGCCCATGGTTAGGAGGGTTGCCAGGCACCACGTCCGATTAGCAATCCAATGGACCCTCCTGGAGCCAGCATGACGTAGTTTGAACAAATCCTGGGATGCGAAGAGTGGTTTCGGAACTACAAAGGTTTCCGTGTGAGGATTGCACTCCTGCCAGTGGCAGTAGTAGCTGTTTGCAGAAATATTCGTGGTGGTCACGATAGAAGCAGCGGCTGGACTAGAACTTCTACAACTATAGCAGTGGGTGGGTTGGGTTGGGTTGGGTTGGGTTGGCTGGCTGGCTGGCTGGGGGGGGGGGGGGGGGGGGGCCGTTTGCGCGCATCTAACATTGACTGATGTGGTTTAAGTTGGCGGTGGCTCCCGTTCTGGATTTGGTCCAATCAACAGTCCGAACAGACAACTGAAAGGGCAATGCAGCAACGACACTGAAGTGACTATCATATTGTGCATGGTTTGGTTAGGGGTAACAATAATGGCGGAAGCAGCGACGGCAGTTACAACCACGGAAAAAGTTGCAGAAACCATTTCAATTCGCACAGCGTTGGACTGACTTATCATGGAGTCATTCCTGTCGTCACACAGCACTGCCGTTTGTGTATTACAGTCTCGATTTAGCGTCCCCGTCTGTCGCTAGCTGCAAGGACGGGCAGCGGCAAAACGCAGCCTGGCACCAACGGGAAACAAGACCAGACAAGATTTGAGTCCGCAGGACCCGGCAAGAGCTTATACTTTAAGCCGTGAACCCAATGCGTAGCTTCAAGCCAAGCACATTGTGTCATGGTTCCAGGGGGATGAAGCCAGTCCTGAAACTGGATCAAGCAATTTCTGCTAACTCGTGTGAGAGCCTGTTTCAGCCCCGTTTGTCCTGTATCTCCCCATAGTAGTAGTAGTGGTGGTAGGAGTAGCAGGAGAGAAGCAATTAGTAGTTGTTGTTGACAGCAGTCCAACTGTTGCTTCTGCTGCTCTAGCGACCACGATCGCGACCTCGACTGCAGCTACTGTCATCTGCTCCAGATTGTGTAGGATACCGCCCGCTCCTTGGCACGGATGTGCAACTCAGAATAACCGCGGCCCACAACACAAGCATCCACGAAAACCTCCAAGGACTGCCCCTAAACCCTAAACCCAAGGCCTGAGTCCTCAACGATTTCTCGCTGAGGTACACACTCTTGGACGACTCGGGGCTTCTTCCCCGCCTTACTTCTGCACTCTTTGATCCTTAGTCGCTCATAGACAGGCAAAACGACCGACAGATTGCATACCCACCCAAAGAATGAACATCTCCTAGTCGTGTGTCAGTCCAAGCGTTGAGTTTCGCAAAGACACATAACTCTGAACACTATCGGCTTCCACTGTCCTGATATGGTGCAGCATGCTTTGTCTGCGGCCTTTGAACCCTGTTGAGCCATCTAAAATCTAAAACCATCCCATTCGGCCGTGGATCCTGAGAGTTAGAGCTCGCTGCGAACATACCTGTGCGGTCCCATCGAAATCATAGATTGAGAGATGACGTGTTGCTAAGCGCACGCAGCCTCTGCAACAAGGAAGCGATAGCAGCAGACACTGGCTCCTTGTATGAGGCAATCCCGCTACCGATCTGGTCGCGAGTGGGCTAGGAGCTTTCAGATTCAGAGGTCCTATCTGCCCGGACTTGTGCATGGTTCTTGTTGAGGCTTCGGCACCACAGTGCGTTGCGCGACTGTTGTTGTTTTTGCTGCTGTTACTATCGTTGTCATCGTTGTCGTTGTTGTTGTCGTCGTTGTTGTTGTTGTTGCTGCTGCTGTCGGTGTTGTTGTTGTTGTTGTTGTTGTTGTTGTTGCTGTTGTTGTTGTTGCTGTTGCTGTTGCTGTTGCTGTTGCTGTTGTTGTTGTTGTTGTTGGTTGTTTGTTGTTTGTTGTTTGTTGTTTGTTGTTTGTTGTTTGTTGTTGTTGTTGTTGTTGTTTTTCTTTGTTGTTTGTTGTTTGTTGTTTATTGTTTATTGTTTCTTGTTTCGTGTCTCTTGTTTGCTGTTTGCTGTTTGTTGTTTGTTGTTGTGTTGTTTGTTGTTGTTTGTTGTTGTGGTTGTTGCTGCTGCTGCTGCTGCTGCTGCTTGTCTTGTTGTTGACGTAAAGGATTGTGCCCCTTCTCGAGCCATGTGCCTCCGTGCTTACTGAATCTATGTTTAGTTTATTATCACCGGTACATTTATTTTTTATATGTATAGATGGTTCTCGTTTTCACAAATCATTTGCCACCAGACTCGGTCACCAGACTACCAAGACGTGTGCAAGCACTGCTCGCAGTAGGCAGCACGGTAGCACTGCCGCTGCCGCTGCTGCTCACCAAACGGGTCGAGTGGTCTGTGCTTGTACTGGAAGCTCACCCACACAGAGACATAGACACCTGTTTGCAGGTGGACATCAGCGTCGTGCAGATCTACAATGATCAGGCTGTGCAGTGTTGAGGTCCTCAGTGAAGGGTTGGAGGCGTGCCGAGGACTGAGACCGTCGTGACAGATCAAGAACCTTGGTTTTTCGGGAACTCACAGCTGCGATGACCACAAGATTGTGAGTGACTGGAAAGCCTCACAGCATTTTGCAAGTTGACGGCACATGTCTGAATGCATCAGGCAGACGACCTTTTAGACGATTCCAGACAGATGCTCGGCAGCAGTGCAGGGTTGTGCCCCCCCGTGCCACTTCACTCACTTCCCCGACCATAAGCCAGATGCTGCCACAACTGTTTCCGACTCGCTGCCGTGGTCCAGGGCGATTGCAAGATCTCGCCAGGTTTCTGATCAGGCGCGGCCTTTCTTTTCCCAGGAGCCCGGAAGTCATGTCTCTCAGCATCCTCTCTCGTCGCGCTGCAGCTCCTCTCGTCGCGCCTCGCTTTGCCGTGGCTGCCCGACGTGGATACCACGAGGTCGTGCACGACCACTTCAACAACCCCGGCAATGTGGGCAGCCTGGACAAGGAGGACAAGAGCGTCGGGTCTGCCTTGGTCGGCAAGGCGTCCTGCGGTGATGTGATCAAGCTCCAGGTGAAGGTGGGCGAGGACGGCACCATTCAGGATGCCAAGTTCAAGACCTTCGGCTGCGGCTCAGCCATCGCTAGCTCCTCCTATGCCACGGAGATGATCATCGGACAGAACATCACCGAGGCGTCGAAGATCACTAATTCCGACATCTCTTCGCACCTGAAGCTGCCTCCAGTAAAGATCCACTGCTCTGTGCTGGCCGAGGAGGCTATCCAGGCAGCCATCGCCGACTACAAGACCAAGAACTCTTCCGAGGCCTCTGCGCTGCGAGGGACTCCAGCGTTCCCGTGAGGTGCCGGTTGAGCCGATGACATGGAGATTTTGGTTCACAGCTCACAGCTGTTGCCTAGAGTGAGCCCATGGGCCAGTGTGAAGAGAAGGTCATCAGAAAATTGTACAGGAAGCTTTCCACCGACAGCACCGTTGTGGATTGCCCTTCGCCACCACTCAAGTTGAGTATTCAGTTCAACCGACGGGAAGCTGAGTCTTCTTGTTGGAGCATTTCAATGCTGCCGGCATGCCCTGCAAAACAGTAGATTGAGTATAGATGTCCTGCTGCATCTAGTCACTCAACCCTTTCTGTCCAGACATTGGCGCATGCCTGGGAGTCAGTTCGGCAGGCGCTGGGGACTGAAATGAGTCCTTCAGCCTCGAGCGCCTGGTTGTCAGCAGTAGACGCTGTATCTCCGAGTTCTCGTTGCAAACTGGACAGTGGCCCAGTGGCAGATGCAAGCGCTTGTTTGTGGCTGGAGATTCAGAGCACTTCTGACAAGACTCACTCTTGCCGTTAGGCCTGAGGAAAAAAAAGTGACTGCACCGGCTAGGTGTCGTCTCTGACTGATAAAGCACGACAATCGAGAGCTTCAGGGGCTGCTACTGAATTTCTCGGGCTCGAGGCGATTGTAAGATCTCACCAGGCTTTCTGATCAGGCGCGGCCTTTCTTT